GTTTGTGAATTCCAGGCTGTTTCCCTCGGAGAGGGAAAGGCAGCTCACCTTGTGAAATGGGAAGGACTGATATTAAAAAGGAGAAGTTATCTTCAGCTCTAAAAATGAGATGTCTTGCTAATGCCAAAATTAATAATATGGAGTTATTTGGGGCTTATACTTCATTCTTACAACTGGCAGCGCACAGAATTAGACTACATCACATACCCAAAACCTTACAGAGACAAGTAAGTGCTGTTCCCTTCCTAAGGAAGAGAAGCATAAGCACAGAGCAGTTAAGCAATATAAGGAGACTGAAGCGATTCAAGACTCAAAAAGCAAAACCCCAGGATTTTTGCCTCATTTCTAAACTCATAAAAAGATGCTTTTTGAACTGCAAAACCAGGATTAAATAATTTAATTAAAGACATAACCTTCTTGTACATTAACTTGCATACAAAGCTCTCTTCTGTTTGCAGAGGAGCTGAGAGTCACCCTCGGAAACGGCTGTTGCACAGTGTGACTTTCAAAATAACATCCTTGCAGCGCACTAAAGGAGAGAGCAAAAGATATATGTCCTCTGGCTCAATGTGTAGGGTTGTCTCCAAGGAGCTCATACAGATGATCAGAACACAAGCTGTCAAATGCACCGGAGTGGGGATGTCAGGAGGGAGAACGGTCCCAGCTCACAACAGAACAGACTCAATTGCCACTGAACTTCAAGAAGGAAGAACCAGTGAACCCCTCACATCCCACCCGGGTGCAGAGCTGTGACCCACTAATACCCAGCTTTGAGCTGCAGCCTTTCCCTTTGGAAGTCCTCCCCTTCACACACTGAATCCCTGAGCAGCAAATGCCTCAGTTTTATTTTTGGGAAGGACCACTGCGGGGATCATCCCTGTATGCACAGACTGATAAACAGGCAACACAGAGTCCCCACAGACGAAACTGAAGTTCCCTCTGCAGCTGTATTTTGGTTCTAAGCTGTGATGCACTGCTGTGCCATGTAAAAAATGCAGTTATTCAACAAAGTGGTTTGAAGTTCAAAGATAATGTCATGTTCATTTGGAATATAAGCATGAGCAACGCACTCCCAGATAACACTTTGTGTCCCTACATCCCTATCTCAGCTGTAGGCAGGGTGGCAACATATAAAGAGAGAGCAGGTGGGAATGTTTTTAGGTGGGGAAGAAACAGCCTTATAGCTCTAAAGCCGAGTTCACTGCCTATCCCACAGTTTGGAAGGCAAACAAAAAATGCCTCATGAATTGAGCAGGCATGCTGCAAAATAAAAAGAAACAATAGGAGGCAGATAAAGGCAGGAAAATCACTGATGAAAACACAGGATTTTCTTTCCAAAGAGTTTGGGCTCAGTCTTCGTTTTTCCTGACTGCTTTTATCACCTGTATGAAGGGGCCACTGGACTTACACATGCAAAAGCCCTTTATCCACTTACATTTGGTATCTTGCAAGGCCGAGTCCTCAAAGAGCTCAGAAATAAGGAGCTTTCAGGTTGGCACCTTGCTAAATAGCCTCCCTCACTGTATGCAAACGGTCTCCATCACCACAGAGATTTTGCTGAAGGCATTTGCACTACACATGTAACTCTGACACCATTCAGAGGAACAGGGTTAGGACTCGGATCTCCCTGTGTAGTCAGAGAAGAGGGATAAGCCCCGTAAGTGGGATGAGGGAGAGGTTGGAGGACTAATGCAGTGATTTAATGTGCTTTCTGTGAGCAGGCAGTCCCAGCGTCTGAACTTCAGTCTCTGACAGTCCATTCCCTGCCTACTACGTTTTATAAAATGCTTGGGAAAAACACTTTGCACATCATCATCTGCACATCAGCAGTGTAAGACAATTAATCAGGGGTTCCAGTGCCACGCCATAAATCCTGGCACCTTGTGTCAGTGACACTTGAAAGACAAAATGTGAGAATCTGTCTACTATGATAAGCTTTAACTCAGGCAAAATCACTTTGGCTTTTCGGTGTGTTTGGGAACATCACTGCTGGCAGCCCAAACAGCCCAGCTTCAGGGTCTGATCCCCATCTCACTGATTTGGTCATAGAATCATAGTACAATTTGAGTTGGAAAGGACCTTAAGACCATCCAGTTCCAACCCCCCTGCCATGGACAGGGATGCCACACACTAAGACCATGTCACCCAAGGCTCTGCCCTTGAACACTGCTGCCAGGGATGGGGCAGCCACAGCTTCACTGGGCACCCTGTGCCAGTGCCTCACCACCCTCACAGTAAAGAACTTCTTCCTTAAATCTAACCTGAACTTCCCCTGTTTCAGTTTGAACCCATCACTCTTTTTCCTATCACTACAGTCCCTAATGAAGAGTCCCTCCCCAGCATCCTTGTAGCCCCCTTCAGACACTGGAAGCTGCTCTGGGGTCTCCACGCAGCCTTCTCTTCCCCAGGCTGAACAGCCCCAACTTTCTCTGCCCGTCTTCATATGGTCAGGCACATTAACTTGGACATTTTCCAGTGATAAATGGTCACATATGTAAAATCAAAATGGAGCCTTCAACAGATTTTTCCCAATAGCACAGGAAAATAATGTCTCCACTACTTATTCCATTATCACAGACTAATTGGAAGACCTGGAAGTCCCTCTGTGTCATTAGCTGTCTATGAGATGAGAGAGCTGCAGCAGCTCATATTCTTCACCACGATGGCTATCGCAGCGCAGGAGGGGTCTGAAGTCCAGACTGGAACTTTCCCACTCCCAATGCACAAGAGCTGCAGTGAAACCATTATGTTTAGAAACCCAAACACGGAGAGACCTCCCACTAACTCGGCAGATCCTTTTGAAAGTTGGCACTGTCAAAACAAACACAGTCGCCTGCAGCACCCTTACACCGCTCCTGCTGACAGCGCTAGTGAGGAGGAGGAGGTGCTGAGTACTTTGTTATTATGAGGAGGAGGATAGTGTTGGGAAAGGTGTTGGGTTTGACACAGAAGTATCAAGAGCAGGAAAGCGAAAGTCAAGGAAATCAGCCTTGTGCCATCTCAAACTGCTCGCGCACTAAACCCACAAAAATCGATGACTCTGCTTTCACAGGAGTTTTCACATAAACCTGAGGGGAGCGTACAGCACGAGTTGCACCAGATGGAGAGTCACGGGAAGTGGAGAGTGAGACAGGAGCAGTGCTGGTATCTATCAGCTACATCAAACGCGGAATTCACAAACAGTAATTAGGGCTGTTCACATCTAGCCCTGCCTTTTGCGTCTGCGGCAGCAGTGTGGAGGGAGAGCCGGCACAGAGAGAACAGCACAGTGTTATAAATACATCTGCAGGTACTAAAAGGATTGTTTATACTCTTATGGATTTGTGCCTTTTATCTGAGTGAAAATCTGGTAATACAACTGCCTGAATTTTAGGCTACAAGTTGTTTCTCCCCTGGTCCCACCTTTTCAAACCTGTTTAATCACAGCAGTTTGTCTCTGTCCTCCCTCCCAAAACCAAAGCCCTCCCCAATCCGCATTGAAAACCTTCTTACAAAGAAAACTGAAGGGAAATAATTTTTGTGCAACTTATCCATCTTTCAAAGCAGCTTCTGGCAGGAGGGAGCTGAGAGTGATGAGTCCACAGGATAATAAATAATAACAATATTGAGCAGTTCTGCCGAGCAAATATACATTGAGAAACTTCTCCTCTTGAGTGCCTGACATTATTAATTTGTTCTCCAAATACACTAGTGAGGGGAGCCATCCCATTTTTACAGACAGGGAAAGTGAGCACATAGATTACAGTAATTGTTTAAGACACAGAAGGAGTCAGTTCCAGAAAGAGGGCAGAACAACTCACAGGAGATCACAGTCCATATCCATGGCAATATTTGGACAGAGCCCTGCCACCACAATTGCTATCAGCAAGTGACACACGCCTGGGGGGTTTTTGACACCCGTGAATAATATCTTCCTTGAACTGCCCTTCCCTGTGGTCCAGGAGGAGTGTATCTTAGGCCTTAAGAAGCAGGGAAGGCTGAACAGAAGTTCCTGTAATTATTGATGATGGAAGTATTTCCAACCACTTCCCAGCTTCTGCTTAAAAGGGTTCAAACTCACACTAACCTACTGCCTAAGTAATATGTGACATCCCAACAACCCATTTGGAGTTGCACAGACACCCATCTGGGACATCCTTTCCCAGCACTCCTGTGTGGGAAAGCAGCAGTTGTGCTTGCAGCCCCACTACTGCACAGCAGAGATTTCAGATGAATTGAGGGGAGGGGGAGAAGACCTGAACTGACTTGCTGTATTCACATGAAATGGTTAGTGAATGACCTTGCGTCCAACCTTCTAACATCTAAGACAAAAGCATGGAAAAGCTGAACAAAGGAAAGCAGGAAAGCTCACTGAACGGGGGGGGGTTTGTTTGTTTGCATAGAGATAGAAATCAAGGTTGATAAGCAGCTAGCTTAATTTTAAGCCTCTTCCTGCTTTATTGTACTCGTAGTAGAGTCACCAAAGTAACAACAATTTCCAGGACGAGCACAACACCAAAACCAGGTCAAACTCCTGCTTGCCATACTCACACTAATGAGCTCTCAGAAATCAATGGATTTAGGGATTCCTGTGCGGACAAACAGCACTTGCCTCAGGTTCCCCTGATAATGGCTTGGTATAGAAACCAACCTTCATCCCCTCTTTTCCTTACAGGATTTCTTAGGAGCCAGATTATAATGCAAAAGGAACCCAGGCAGAGGGACGGCTCTTCTGTGTCACCTCCTGCTTGCTCTAGGCAATTGCTCTCACTGGCACACCAGCATGATACAGCACATGCTGATGCTGAGGCTGTTGCTTTTGCTTTTTAGAGCTATTGATTTCCTGCCCTTTCTTGTAAAGGATTCCGTGAACTGGAAGCAGTTAAAGGTTAACTGCAAAGATTTCATTAAAAAGAATATTTTAGAATTGTTTAAGATCCTAAATCATTAGTAGTTAAATGCCTACACCTAAGAATTGCACTGAAATTTATGTCTTTAGGCAATGAAGTTCCAAGAGTTACCTGCCAATATGAGAGCCCCAGAATCTGCTCACTCTGCTGCAGCTCAGCACCCGCAGGCAGCCCCCCGCTCTACATCAGGTCCTGGCAGTTGGGTTCGTCACGGGGGATCCTCCACTTGGGATCTCACTAATAAGAGGAAGAAGAAATGGGTTGGAGTGGTTGGCACAGCCTTAAAGTATTCAAAGTCTGGCATTTTGGTGAGAATGAGAAGTCAGAAGGAGACGTGGGAAGGAGGGGAAAACATGTCTGTACCACCAGCACTCTGATTCCTGGCAACTGTATGACCGAGTAAGAGCAGGGAGATTGAGTCTAACCCTGTGGTAGAGAGACAACATCTCCACTAGTCAACATCAACAACTCCTGGTGGGGTGCCTGGGGGAAAGGGCTGGCGAGAAGGAAGAAGAAACATTAAAGGGACAATATGCATTGAACATTCCTGCCAGAGGGTAAGAGAAGTGGATTGCTGCCCAAAACACAGCGCGCACATATGTGTGCGTGCGTGGAGGGGGAGTTTACATACATCTTGCTTACAAGCTGTAACATTATAAACTGACATTTCTGTTACTGTGGTTGTGTTTCCCCATTTATGCTCCTTTTGCTCTCGTTTTCTTTGCTTTATGCACAAACTTTGGCCTCAGAGAAGAGGAAAGTTTGCTGCCTGAGAGCACCAAGGGGAGTCCTTCCGCTCACCTGGGGATCTGTGCAAGTATGTGTGTTAATTTGAGGAGGAACCTCCTGACATCCAAAGCCAGCATCCACTGCTGCTGACAGCACCTGGCAGAAGGGCTACATCCTGCGCATCCTTTGGCAGCTGTTCTGTGAAGCAGCTACAGCAGAGCTACAGTACAGATGGTCCTTCATTTGGGGATGTTTGGATCCAGACCTTTCATTTGGGTCTGTCTGAAGGGAAATTGCCTTCAAGATATGCAAATATTTTGGTTTTAAAGCTATACAGACATTGCTCCACTAGTTTCCCTCCTCTCTTCCTGTGCCAGTTCCACCTCTCATCCAGGCAACGCAAACGCTTCCCCTATGTAACCAGAAGATTCTCTCCTTTCAGCTTACACTACCACACAAACCCTAATGCTAAGGACACAGCCAAGGGGACAGGCTATAGGGGAAGAGCACCCCAGAAGTCTCAGGGGGCTAAAGTTCCCTCAGGGAAACTGAAATGAACTGCTACTCTACGCTGAGGCTTAACCAGCTCTGTGCTGATGGATCTGATGAGGAGCAGCAATGGTGGGCATGATGTGATATTTAAAACATACCCAGTAGGTTCTATCCCCAACAAAGGATGCAGCCACAATAGGTTCATTCAGTCTCCTTAGTCATTACAGTATTTTCAGCATTAGTTTTTAAAGATTTGTTCTACCTCCTGAAGAATTGCTTCTCAATGCAAAAGCAGGCTGATGAATTCATCTCCCCTTTCCCTGCTGAATACAACTTTGAAAAACATAATGCTTCTCATCTTATTTTGTCTCCAAGTCAAAATAAGCCAACCAAATCCTGCGGTATACCTATCAATACAAACAAAAGATGCAGAGGTGGGGTATTTTGTAGCAGAAATAAACACAGTTTAAGGAATGATTTTCCTTTCATGACAGATTAAGGTCCTTCAAACTTGACGGAATTGATTACTGAATCAAAGCAAATGAAGGCAGGGAATGGAGTTTTCTTGCCTACACCTGTAACGTTATATACCCGTGTGCTACAGGGAAAGAAGGGAAATGCTTGAACTGTCGGTAAGGAAAACCCAGCAAGGAAAAAGAAGAAGGGATATCTTGGGATTAGCTTTAGCGTAACATCCTACAGTATGTTTGCTTTGCTTTTCTTCTCCATCTCGTATTTCTTCCTGGGATCAGTCCTCAGCCCTGCAGACCCTCCCAGGAGTCCAATGCCCTTTCGTGTATTGCACGAGTGGCACCGAGACTACGGCAGCTTCAAAACATAAAAGGGAAAAAAAGAGTCTCCCTCAACGCCATCATCATTTTTAAAGAAGGCAATTGATGTCGCCTGAAGCAGCAGCTATGAAGCCCAATTATACCACATTTCATTCAAGTGTCAAAAATTGGAATAATAATAACCAACAACGAGAAGAGTATATAGGAAATGATGCTGCCATCTTCTTTTGTTTGGGCCACGTGTTTCCATAAATTCATGCTTTGAGCAGACCCAATGCCACATTCCTTCAAGGACTTTCTTGTTCGCTATTGTTTTCAGTTCTTAACAATTGGCTTCCCCGAGTACTTGCCTCGTGTTGACAGTCGCTCACAGAGCCTCCATATGCTCTCCCTACTTGGGTAGTCAATCATTTGTGAATTAGCTCCCCAACCAAATAGCTACAAGAGCCTGGGAGTGTTTATCCATTGCTGGTGTTTTGCTTGCAAAAGGTGTCAGATTAAACAGGCACAAATGAATTTATTCACACAATAAGGATTGCATAGGCAGAAACAGAGAGACAAGCACTGGCCTGAGTTCACACTGGGTTTCTGTTGGGGTTTTTTTTCCTCTTTGTTTTGTTGTGGTTTAAACCATGCTTAAAGTAAGATGTCCCTGGACTCAGGAAGGCTTCAGCCACCTGCTTACCTAAAATGGGGCATTTGGAAAGAGACTGGAATCTTGGCTGGAAGTAGGACAGCGGCTCCAGGGGCTGCGCCAGCGTGGAGGACAGAAAGGTTAAAGCAATCAAAGACATCCTGATGGCACGTGTGTCTCATCTTAGATCATGGAGGTGCCTTCTGCAGCCCTGCAAAACACATTCCTCTTTGCATCAGCAATATTCCTGCATTCCCAGCTGCATGGATGGAGCCTTCACAACCCCTTGATAAAGAACACAAGCAGCATTTGCACATGATGCTATGTATGATCTCAGACAAAAGCAGTCCTTCTTTTAAGATCTGTCTCAAAACACCAACACAATACTTTCCTTAACTGTCATTTGGGGGGAATTGAAAGATCATTTAATATTGGCCAACACAGCCTAAATCAAGCAATGCCAACCCACAGAAGAGCCAAGCTTACAGCAGCAGAGCTGTTCCAAATCAGGATTTTCACTTGCCCATCACAGACACTGCCTAATTCAGACCTGGACACAGGGTTTAAATACAGAACTGTGGTGAACTCGCCTCATTTTATAAGAAAAGGGCAAAAAAGTGAGGCAACAAAGCTGTGTTTGGTGATCTCACTTTACAGCCCAGGTTTATGCTAAAAGATGACTAACAAACATATCCACAGGGGTTCCACAGTTGTCACCTTTACCTGACTTTAGAAACAACCGGTAATCTATTTATAAGCAACAAAAATATATACACATTTTAACTGCCAGTTCAAAGCAAATGTCAGTGGTGATGAGAGAATCGAGCTGATTTCTTTTCTTCTCATGAATCACTGTCACAATAAAGGGGCTGCGTGACAACTCTGCCCTTAGCAATCATTGAAAAACCTAGCTCCTTTGAAATCATGAGTTGCCTGGTCCTTATACCGATAGTACTCAGTGGTGATGATGACAATGATGCACAGGGAGAAAAGTAACTTAGCTGCTTGTCATAGTTCTTCCTTCAGCTGACTCCCAGCAGCATTTACTATTCTGGCTTAATAGAAATTAAAATATTAAAGACTTACTCATTAAGGTGTGCAGGTATGATTCACAGGGAACTAGTAAGAAAATGCTATTTTTAAGTAGAGATCTCATAGTGAAGAATACTTCAAGATAGAGCTTCCTGAAAGAAATATAAAGTACTTGTTTATTCAGTGTCAGCTGGTTAACAAAACCCTGCTTTATTGGTAATAGTACATCAGTACCTATTAGGCCAATGGCAATTTTCCTTAAGTTTTCCCTTTCTTCTGAATTCATGAACAAAATTTAAAGCATTCCAAGCAAATGCGCAGTGCCAGGGCCAGTAATGTAAAGACTCAAAGTGGAACTACCTGGACTGTACATTAAATAAAAGGCAGGGAATGAGCACTGAGTGAATTTTTATATGTTCACATTACAACAAACTAGTCCAAGATTCTGACCTCTGGCACTGGAGAATTCTTCCCAGTTTTGATATTTTCAATAAAATAATTCCCAAGAGGGCTGGAAAAAACACTCTCTCTCTCTCTCCTTCTTTCTTTCAATAAAATGAGCCCCCATCTGTGTTATGAAAAAGAAGACTAATAATTTGATAGTGTTCTGAAGTAGCTTTTATAAAGCTTTTGCTTGGGATTTAATATTGCTCAGGAAGTCCATCAGATTTGCACGGCTTTGCTGGAGACAGAAATGTGCAGCACTGACTGTCAGCTCCTGGCTCGTGCAATCAACACCAAAGGTAATGCTGAAGGTGATGTGCTCACATCTTCAGCAGCCAACCCAGGCTGCAGGGGAAGGAATCAGAGAGAAGCTGATTTCAATAGTGTGCTCTGGGTGGGCCCCAGCTGTACGAAGTGGCCTGCTAAGTATGAAATGTGTTCTCTACACTGAAATGACTCCAGAATATAGAATCATAGAATGGTTTGGGTTAGAAAGGCCCTTAAAATCCTCCAGTTCCAACCCCCTGCCATGGCAGGGACACCTCACACTAAACCATGTCACCCAAGGCTCTGTCCAACCTGGCCTTGAACACCGCCAGGGATGGAGCATTCACAACTTCCCTAAGCAACCCATTCCAGTGCCTCACCACCCTCACAATAAAGAACTTCTTCCTTATATCCAATCTAAACTTCCCCTGTTTAAGTTTTAACCCATTACCCCTTGTGCTATCACTGCAGTCCCTGATGAAGAGTCCCTCCCCAGTATCCTTGTAGGCCCCCCTTGAACATCTCTGCTTTCAGGGCCTGGATGGTAGGAAGGCTTCTTGGCTGAGTCCCTCCGAGCTGACTGTACACAAATTACTTGAAGAACAAAAACTGTAAGAGAATGGGGCAGCCGTGTGTAATAAAAATAGGTGCGTGCAGTCAAAACTAATAATGTCACTTTGCAAGGTTTTTGGAAATACATCAACAGAGGGAACTCATAGATGGCTGCTTTTCAGTGTGGCTTAGAAGGGGTAGGATGGGCAAACCCCAGGCTGAGAGATGAGAAGGACAAAAAAAGAGGAGAAAAAAAGTGTATTTATTTCCTTCTGAATTTGCTCTTCACAATAGGTAACAAAATAATACTGGGCATGTGCAGCCAGGGCAAAGATTGAATCAGAGGATGGATGTTCTAATGCTACAGATACACCGAGCTGACCCCTAATGCCATAATGCTGGGTAGAGGGCCAGGTTTTCCAAGTGCTCAGCACCAATTAAGGCCAAGCTTGCAGAAAATGTCCTTCCCAGGAGGGCCAGCAAAGCAGAAAGCTTTTGGCTCCCTCTTGATGTTTGCAGCAATGTTTTCAGAAGACCTTCTTTTCCTGGCATGCTGCCTTCTTTCTATACCTACTTATTTAAACAGAACTTTAAAAGTCTGAATTATCATCTCCCTGATTCTCAGTTTCCAATCATTAAAATGGGAATAAAACCAAACTTCTTTCATGGTCGAGGAGCAAGGAGGATAAATGCAAGAGGTGCTTAATGCTCAGACACACCACTGCTGGGGGTCAGATAAGGCTCTGACTTTTTGCACCAACAATTCCTGTTGTGGTGTTACCCTTCATTAACTACTCAAACGTTCAGAATAGAATCAGATCCTAAAGCAAAAGTGCTCTTTGCTCTCAGAAATCTTCCACTTCCCAAATGACTGAGCTGCATTGCTCCCTGAAACCATCTCCCCCTTCCAGAGATCAGTCTCGATTCCCTTCTTCACCTTTGGTTTGCCCTGAGCTTTGTCCTGCTTTTCTCAAGCAGATAGCTGATCAGCTTGAAGAGCATTACACCGATAGGTTTATGGGTGTGTAAGTATATATTCTCATATATGCATAATAACATGTGTGTACACGTTTAACCAGTGTTATTGCTGGGAAAGAATGGACAAACAGCTTGAACGCGGCTCCTGTCATTTTTAAACATCAGGTAGTTGGGTGTATCAGAGAACAGCACTTGCTCAGTGACAGAAAACAGACTGTTTCTAGGGTTGTTCTTGCCCTCATTGGCTCCATGTACATAACGATGACCCAGCGTGCTGTAACTCACAGTGACGCTGGCAGACAGCAAACACTGTTGGAAGCTACGCCAAGAGGAGACAGGATTGTTCTTTTGCTCTTATGTTTTCAAGTACAGTCTTGCATTTGCCTTGTTTATCACTAGTCAGTTGAAGGGACAGAAGAGGTGAATTCACCACACACAGCTCTTGTTGCCTTTTCCTATCAACATGCACAATCCCTTTTAAAGAAGTGGCCATTTCCAAGTCACAGGAAGGTCATGAGCCTGTCAATGAAGTTCTGTGGTATCTCCCAGCTCTGGCAAGACACCACTTCGGGTCTGAGTAAGCCCCATGCACAAAAGGAGGCCATGCTGTACATGTGGAAGATCTGAGGAGCTAATGAGATGCCCCAAAGGAGTGCTGTAGAGGTTGGGGGTTCAATGCTGTGAATGGTACTCTGGACAAAAGCTGCCACGGAAGAGCATAGATAAACGGTATCATTTCCATCTCTGAAGGGCAAGAATAAGTGCAATTATTCCATCACCACAAAGAGCTCTCCACCATACTGACTCCCTGTAAAATATTTGAAGGCTTGTGCACATCTGAAGGAAGGACTCAGGATAAAAGAAGGATCCTCCTCTGTATTTTAACAGTGACTTCTGAAGAGCAGTTACCATGTTCTGCTTCAGAAGTACATTTCTGCATGCGTACAGGTGCAAGAACTTTCATCAAGTTTGGAGAGAAAAGCCAAAAGCTTTTAACATTAGTCAAGGACAGAGTGGTTAAAGTGATATTTCCTTTTTCCTGTTTTAACCAATTGCTCCTGTGCTCCTGTGTACAGTTTCAGACCAGCCTGTTTCAGGAAAAGCCCTTTGCTGAGGAGGAAATACATGTTTTCAGCATTTGTTAATCTATAGTCTTGATAGTTTGCTAAGCAAACTGTGCTCTTGTGCAGAGCCTGGCAGATGCAGTGCAAAACAGTTACTTCTGCTCCTACACTGACAAACAGCCTATGTGGTGTGTGGTGCCCACCTCTGACTCTGTCATGGGTTGCCTTCTCTTCAGGAGGTTTCAGTTTCTTTGGGACACCTCATACAGCATCATTTTACCAGTGGAAAGTTTTAGCATTTTCCAATACCTGAGTTTAGAACCAGAAAATAACACTGGGGCTTTTATGGTGCCTGTCACATAGCAATCTGTAGCTTTTCCTCTGGCCTTAAGTGGATGAGCATCACAATTCTCACCTTCTAATTAAGATGAGGTTTTGGATTAGGTTCTTCTCCCTATCAAGCTGACGATATTCAAGCTAAACTATGAGCTCCCTCAGTCACTCCTCTTCCACTTCAGCCCTCTCCATCCATCCTCTCTAGTATCCCAGAAGACCAACTATTACATTTTGCTTCATGCCCCGTCTCTACTGTGTCTGAGGGGCCGAGACTGGGGAGACGATAAGGAGAAAGGGCTCCTGTACTCACAGATATTCAGGCAAAGCTAACACAGAATCAGACAGTTCCTTGTTCTACACCTCCTCCACCTCCAGGTCTTAACCTGAAATCAGTGCTCTTCACTGAGTGCAGGATATTGAGGGATTGAGTTTTCATGTTGCCAGTCACCCTGTTCTCTCACACCTTATCCAATGTGGGATATCTAGTCCATCTAAGCCAACCCACACATCTAGTGTTTTACTCTGGGTGAACAGAGCCTATAGTCTACCTTGTAGCCTTCAGGGGAAGTTTTTCCTCCAGGACAAGAGGGCATACCTGGAAATGGAAATTACTAGCAAGAGAAGGTTGCCAGAGGCCTTGGCATAAGTCATGAAGTGGGATCCCAGCCTTGCTAACTAGCAGGAGCTTCTCCTAGCTTTCTGCCCTGGCAGCTGGACCTTACTTCAGTCCTACCACACCCATACTCACAACTGAAAACACACAAACCTCTTCCAGGCACCTCCAACCCTTGGGTTTATGTTCCAAGCCAGACCAGGGCTATGATCAATTTTCGGCCAAATCACAGTTCTGAACAAGGAACAAGGACTCGGAGCAATTTTGGATTTGCTTTTTCACCCAAACCTTGAAGTGACTTTGCACAGACTTTCTAGGTTTCTCAAACTCAAAAATAAAGTGTGACCACCTCTCAATGGACTGACTTTACAGCAGTTTTCCTTAACTAGTACCAGTTTTACAGTGAACTTAATAGTGAACTTAATGATGAGGTAACCAAATAACAGAATGAGGGCAAAAGGGTCATGGGGAAGATAAAAGATGGCCAGAAAACAACAAATTTGGAGTGAAGACAGACACAGAATGAAGGAAAATACTCAAGTCTTAAGAGAATGGTGACAGGAATTGCAGTCATTGTTGTTAGTGCTCAGGTGTTACCTCATTTGGGTCTAGTGGGACAATATCTCTCTCAATTGTCTTACCATTTCAAGATTAGAGCAAGGAAGGCTTTGGGTTTTCTTTCTTATTCTTTGGTGCATTTTTGCTTTTCAGGAAGTTTGGTGGGTCGGGGTTTTTTTGGTCTATTTAAATTACCTTCATCTTACCTTCCCCATTCCCCATTTGATCACTGTTTGAACAGGACCGAATTCCCAATCTCCAAAGCCCATATGTGATTTCGATGGAGCGATCCCAAATTACCTAATCTCAGCTCACATGCCAGTGCACATTCACAGTTTAA